ATCAACTAGAATAACATAAAAAATCACAGCGCTTTTGGTCCCCGCGCCGGACAGCCTCCAGCTAGCCTCTCCCTCTCTTCGTGCCAATTACGGCCAGTGCCAATGCCCTCGTGACCTTGCCAAACGACGACCACGGGCACGGATAAAGGATCACTTGTACTGTAATCGCTATCAAAGCTTAGGTATTGGTGTTGAATCGAGTGATGGTGCTGGTGATGATGATGGTGGTGGTGACGGTGCTGTCTGGTGTTAAAAACTGATGGTGGTGGTGACTGGTGGTCTGGTGTACTGAATGGTGGTGACGGTGACGGTGCTGGTCTGGTGTTAAAAGACTGATGATTGTGGTGGTGACGGTGGCTGGTCTGGTGTTAAGACTGATTGGTGCTGGTGACGGTGCTGGTCTGGTGTTAAAGACTGATGGTGGTGGTGACGGTGCTGGTCTGGTGTTGATTGAACTGATGGTGGTGGTGACGGTGCTGGTCTGGTGTTAAAAGACTGATGGTGGTGGTGACGGTGCTGGTCTGGTGTTAAAAGACTGATGGTGGTGGTGACGGTGCTGGTCTGGTGTTGATCGACTGATGGTGGTGGTGACGGTGCTGGTCTGGTGTTAAAAGACTGATGGTGTGGTGACGGTGGGTCTGGTGTTAAAAGACTGATGGTGGTGGTGACGGTGCTGGTCTGGTGTTAAAAGACTGATGTGGGTGGTGACGGTGCTGGTCTGGTGTTGACCGACTGATGTTGGTGGTGACGGTGCTGGTCTGGTGTTGATCGACTGATGGTGGTGGTGACGGTGCTGGTCTGGTGTTAAAAGACTGATGGTGGTGGTGACGGTGCTGGTCTGGTGTTGACCGACTGATGGTGGGTTGACGGTGCTGGTCTGGTGTTGATCGACTGATNAGAGAGAGAGAAGAGAGAGAGAGAGAGAGAGAGAGAGAGAGAGAGAGAGAGAGAGAGAGAGAGAGAGGGAGAGAGGAGAGAAGAGAGAGAGAGCGCGAGGGGCCGCCGAGGAGGCGCGGCGGCCGCAAGAGACGTGGCACCACAGCGTCTGTCCGTCGCATCATCCCCTCGGCTCTCTCCCTCGCGCCCTCTCCCTTTCCCTTCTCTCTCCTTTCTCTCCCTTCTCTTCTCTCAACTTTCTCTCCCTTCTTTTCTCTCAACTTTCTCTCCCTTCTCTTTTCTCCCCTTTCTCTCCCTTCTCTTCTCTTCCCTATCCTTTCTCTTTTCTCTCTTCTTTTCCCTATCCTTTTTCCTTTCTCTCTTTCTTCTCTCTCTCCTCACTTTCTCCTCTCTCATCTTCTCTTCCTCACACCCTCTCTTTCCCTCTCCTTCTTTTACTCTTATCTTCTCCCGCTTCTTAATCTTCCTTTTCTTTTCTCCTCTTTCCCAATTTCATTTCATTCTCTTTCTCGCATCTCCTCATTCGCCTCTCTCCGTCCTCCACCCTCCTTCTATTCGGTCTCTCTTTCTCTACGCTATTCCTTCACTTTCCCCTATTCTTCTTTCCTTTGACTCTTACTATTCATTCTCCTTCTTTTCCTCTTCCTTCTCTCCTTTGTCATTCTTTTGCCTCATCCTCTTTATCTGTCGTCTTTTTTGTTTCTCTTTTCTTTTCTTTCCTCTCTTTTCCGTTCTCCTCTCTCCCTTATTTCTTGCCTATGCCCCGCACTTCCCCTTTCGCCTTCCTCCCCTTCTCTCCATTTTCCTTTCAATCCGTTTTCGGCCCTTTCCCCTTATCCCGTTATTCCTCCTCCTCTTCCTTAAATCCCCTCCCTTTCCCTCCTCTCTACGCTCTCTCTTCCATCCCCCTTCCCCTTTCCCTGCCTTATCGCCCTTCCCTTCTTCCCCTTCTCCCTCTCCCCACACTTTCTCTTCCTCGCGCTGCCCCGCTGTTCTCTCTCATCTCCATCACTTCCACCTTCTTCTGACAATCTGTCTGTGCCTCTTGTTTACTTTCGTATCTCCCGTTTCATTATCGATTCCTCCGATTTTCTCTTTTCCCCTCATTCGTGCCATATCTGTTTCCCTTAGTGCTGTCTCTTGTTTTCTACTTTTCTCATTTCCTTGGTAGTCGTGACTGACAGCAATAACGCTAATGACAATAACAGTAAAGATAACACATCAATAACAACAATAACAATAACAACAGTAAAAATACATTCCAACTACAATTACCAACAACAATCCCACCAACGATAACGACAATGACAACGACAACAAACCGCTAACATCATCAACTAGAATAACATAAAAAATCACAGCGCTTTTGGTCCCCCGCGCCGGACAGCCTCCAGCTAGCCTCTCCCTCTCTTCGGTGCCAATTACGGCCAGTGCCAATGCCCTCGTGACCTTGCCCAAACGACCACGGGCACGGATAAAGGATCACTTGTACTGTAATCGCTATCAAAGCTTAGGTATTGGTGTTGATCGACTGATGGTGGTGGTGACGGTGCTGGTCTGGTGTTAAAAGACTGATGGTGGTGGTGACGGTGCTGGTCTGGTGTTAAAAGACTGATGGTGGTGGTGACGGTGCTGGTCTGGTGTTAAAAGACTGATGGTGGTGGTGACGGTGCTGGTCTGGTGTTAAAAGGACTGATGGTGGTGGTGACGGTAAAAAGACTTGATGGTGTGGTGACTGCCTGGTGTTATGACTGATGGTGGTGGTGACGGTGCTGGTCTGGTGTTTAAAACTGATGGTGTGGTGACGGTGCTGCTCTGGTGGTAAAAGACTGATGGTGGTGGTGACGATGCTGGTCTGGTGTTGATCGACTGATGGTGATGGTGGTGGTGACGGTGCTGGTCTGGTGTTAAAAGACTGATGGTGGTGGTGACGGTGCTGGTCTGGTGTTAAAAGACTGATGTGGGGTGACGGTGCTGGTCTGGTACTGAACGGTGCTGGTCCTGATGGTGGTGGTACGGTGCTGTCTGGTGTTAAAAGACTGATGGTGGTGGTGACGGTTGCTGGTCTGGTGTAAAAGACTGATGGTGGGTGTGGACGGTGCTGGTCTGGTGTTAAAGACTGATGGTGGTGGTGGACGGTCTGGTCTGGTGTTAAAAGACTGATGGTGGTGGTGACGGTGCTGGTCTGGTGTTAAAAGACTGATGGTGGTGGTGACGGTGCTTGTCTGGTGTTAAAAGACTGATGGTGGTGGTGACGGGTTGAAAAGACTGATGGTGGTGGTGACGGTGTTGGTCTGGTGTTAAAAGACTGATGGTGGTGGTGACGGTGCTGGTCTGGTGTTGGTCGACTGATGGTGGTGGTGACGGTACTGGTCTGGTGTTGACCGACTGATGGTGGTGGTGACGGTGCTGGTCTGGTGTTGGTCGACTGATGGTGGTGGTGACGGTGCTAGTCTGATGGTGGCGGTGACGGTGATGTGGCGGTGGCGGTGCTGGTCTGGTGTTGGTCGACTGATGGTGGCGGTGACGGTGCCTGGCCTGGTTTTGAGGTGGTTGCGGTGCTGGCGGTGTTTGTCGACTGATGGTGGGTGGTGACGATGCTGGTCTGGTGTTAATCGACTTGGTGGTGCGGTGACAGTACTGGTCTGGTGTTAAAAGACTTTGATGGTGGCGGTGGACGGTTGGCGTCTTGGTGTTGGTCGACTGATGTTGTGGTGGAGACGTGCTGGTCTGGTGTTAAAAGACTGATGTGGTGGTGACGATGCTGGTCTGGTGTTAAAAGGACTGATGGTCGTGGTGACGGTGCTGGTCTGGTTGTTGACCGACTGATGGTGGTGGTGACGTGCTGGTCTGGTGTTGGTGACGGGCTAGTCTGATGGTGGCCTGACGTGATGTGGCGGTGGCGGTGTGGTTGACGGCGGTAGTGTTGATAACATTGACCTCAATAATAATCAATTATAATCACAAAGGTTAATAAGAAGGACGATAATAACTGTAAGCAAAATAATAATATAAATAATAATGAAATTATTTATAATATCAATAATAATGAAAACAACAACAACAACAATAATAACAATAATAATAGTAGTAGTAGTAACAGTAATAATAGTATTATTATTAATAATAATAACAATAACAAAATTATTAGTAATAAAATAATAATAATAATAAATAAATAATAATAATCATTCACCATCATCATCATCATAATAACAATAAATAATTGAATTAATAATCATAATAATAATAACAAAACCAAACAAAACAACAACAACAACAACATAATAATAATCAATACCTATAACTTATCACATACAAATAATTAGCAGCAACAACAATTGGTAACCAACAGGAACAAAAATCCCCAAGATCATTTCCAGCCTCAGCATCACAACAACTCTCACCAGCTCTCCCGCCACCAACGACCTTGCAGCCTCTCCCTTCTTTCTCTGCTTCACTCATTTCTCTTAATACCCTCTCTCTCTCACAGCGTCCCTCCCCCTTACTGCCTCCACTCACACGCCCGGACATCATAACATGCTTCCCACACTCTGCCATGGCCTTTGCACGCTCCTCGAGTCAGTTTAGCTGCTCGCCCTCGCGTGAGTGTGAGTGTCTACATCCGCCGCCAGCTGCCTAACGCTGTGCTCCGTGCACAGCTCTACTCCTGATATAACTCACGAAGAATCACACTGCTCTACCTCCTCGGTCTCTGGAAGCACGACCAGGCATAACCTCTGTCACGTTCACCAGCTCACCCCTCGGGCGCCGAGCTGCGGGCGGGATCAGCCGAGGCAGGGCGCCGGCACAGAGCCAAGTTCCGGTTCTCGTAACACCGCGGAACTAAGTATAATGGGGCGATTTATACTAGAAATTTCTTCGTATTCATTGTGAATCAATAGCGAAGGCGCCAGACTCCACCCGTGGTGTGGAGGAATGGTCGTGCACTGTTCCCCCTCATATATCTGAGTAGCGCTTCGCTGTATATCCTCACGGACCCCGCCTTAATAACGGGGAACAGCGCCCAGTGTCAAGTGTACCCGAAAAACCCGTTTATCATTAATACCAAAGAAAAAAGTTGATACAATAAGTTCATGAAAAAAAAAAGACCAATAATGGCCGGTTCTTCTATATTATCTTCGAGAAGCCTACCTTGAACATTTACCCCAATGACCCCTTTATTACCGCGTAAACAACCCGAGCCTTTTTTCTTATAGTTACCTCGCACCATACTCCTCTTCTACTATGCGGTTTCCCTAACCAGAACAGATGAACCATGAACTACTCGCTGTTCCAATCAACCTTGCTTGATAACAAATTATCTGCACGACTATCGGTCTTCCTTAGCGTCGTCTCAGGAGCAATTCGGCTGTAGTCCAGTGCCGTCACTATCTCCCGCTTGTATTAATCAACATTATATCATACTTCTGAGTCGCTTGTAGTGTCTGGCGAGCACACCTAGCTTCAGTTTCCTATCTCAGCTAAGACTACAGTACTACTGTACATAACTTGTGTAGTACAGCCGAGTGCCATACGATACGGGAACGCTCTTAGATATTAGACGCCTCCTCAGTATTCGGTGACTAGTTTCTTCTACATCACACTCCTGTCCTTACATACATACATATGAGTACAGAGCACACCTATGCGCACCATGATGTAACTCTATAAAGATGAATGCATCTAGAAAACAATCTATCTATCTCTTCCAACCGAATCCCCATTAAAGACACAACCACAGAGCACTAGGGACACAGACACAGACACAAGACACACACACACCACACACACACACACACACACACACACACACACACACACCACACACACACAGACACACACACACACTACACACACACACACACCACACACACACACACATCTATATACATGTGCATTACTCGTGTACATGTATGTATGCATGTATGTATGTAATGACGTACGTACTCATGTATGTATTCAACATAAGCATTTTCGTTTATATTTACGTGAAATACGTATCTCCGTCAGTACGTGTCTGCTAAAGTGTTTTTCCATTTCTTCTATTGTTTCACAGCTTTTGACATTCTAATTTCTCTCACCTGACCCTCCTCCCCTACAAGGATGATAAAACAAGTTCAGGTCACGCGGCAGCAGGGCAGAGGGGGGGGCGGAGGAGGACAAACCAAAACAAGGTTCCCATTTTCCCTTCGACACTCACTGACCCCTCCCCTCCCCTCCCTCCTACCTCTCAAGCTCATTTCCAATCTCATTTCAACTACTCCCCTTGCACCACCCACCCCCCCCTCCTCCTCCTCTTCTTCTCCTCCTCCTCCTTGTCAGCGATGCGTCCACTCCATTGTTACTTACACACGTCGGGAAACTATCCCCTCGCCTGACCATCTCCATCTGACGCTCCATCTTCGCTGAATACGAGGCAGCCTAATGAGTAGCGCCGCTAAGGTTGACGCCACCGTACTTCATACTAACTTCTCATCTACCTCTCCCGTCTGCCTCTACTCTTCTCATAACTAATCCATCCATCTTCACCTTCTCTCTGTCTCCCACCCTCGGCCAACGCTATGCGCTTCGTGATTGTGACACCCTCTTCACACCCTCCCACGCCCTTCACGGCTACACCCAAATACTTCTCCTCGCTTCCCTGCCACTATATGCCATCCTGCCGAATGCGCTCCTCCTGCCCCTCTGCTCCTCTCTTCTTCCACCTACCAAAATTTTTTCTGCTCCTTCAACTCTCCCTGTCACCTCAGTTTTCCTTTCCTTCATTAATCTCCCCTTTCTTTCTCCCTTTCCCCTCCCCTCCTTTACTCCCGTCCCCCTTCCCCCCCGCCTCTATCTTCCTCTACTCCCCCTCCCTCTACCTCTCCTTCCTCCTTCTCAATTCTCTTCTTTCTCTTTCTTCTCTCTTCTCCTTCCCCCTCCCTTTCTCTCCTCTTCTTCTTCCCTCTCCCCCTCTCCCCCCCTACTTTCCCACTCTCTCTCATTCCTCTCCCCTTTCTTTCTCTCTATATTTCCTTCCCTCTCCCCCTCTCTCTTCCCTTCCCCCCTTACTCCTCCCACTCTCTCTCCCTCTCCTTCCCCTTCTCTCTTTCTCACTTCCTCTCCTCCCCCTCCCCCTCTCCCTTTCTCTCCCCATACTGAACTGTCAATTTTCACCTTTAATCCAGCAACTTAAGAGAGCTAAATGAACCTCTTAAGCCCCTACGGAGAAGAGGAGGGGGAGGGGGAGGGGGTTATCTACTGGGCGCGATAACGATGGAAGAGGAAAGCAGAAAGAGGACGAAAGGAGGAAGAAGGGACGGGTAGAGAAAGTAAAAGGGAAGGAGGGAGGGATAGGCAGATGGGAGGGAGAGGGGAGAGAGTGAGAGGAAGAAAGGAGATAAGAAAATACCCAAAGTGAAAAAAACGAAATGCAGAAGACAAAATCAAAACGGAAATGAACAATTGTAGAAATACTGCAGATAAACCGCGTCAGTTACCTCGTGTACTTCTCCCAAAAGATGTGTTCCGTGTACTTCGGCGTTGAGAAAAAAAGAAAAAAAAACTTATCAACAATCACCTGGCATCGATTTTCACACAGCAGTTGTTTTCAAGAGCAGCAGCTGTTGAGCGTCTTACAACTCTGACGTCATAGTCCTGTTATAGTTTTGTTCCGCTTTCTGTCTTTTCTCCTTCGTGCATGTCTCTCTCTCCTCGCTCTCCGACTCTCCTCATTAACCCTTCCATTCCGCGGCCGGGCTGGCGACCACCTTAAGGATGTGACAAGGCCATCTCAAATCAAGTGGTTTATTCCTCCTCCTCCTCCTCCTCCTCCTGTGCCCTGTCTGTTGCTGCTTCTCTTCCTACTTCTTCGTCCCTCCTTTCTATTTCGTCTTCTCCTCTCCCCTTCCCTTTTCTCCTTCTCCCTCCTCCTTTCTTCTTACTCTTTCAGTTTCACCACCTACCCCACCTCCACCTCCTTATCCTCATCTCCACCCTCTTCTCTCCTCCCATTCTTCTTCCTCCCCCTCTTCCCTCGCCGCCACCTCCCCTTTCTCGTCTTCCCAGTCAATACCACATTTCTTAGAGCAACAAAACGGAGGGAAAGGCAGCGCCAATCGCCAACTCCCGACTCACTCACGCGCTTTCCCCTCGGCTCCCCTCTGGCGGAGGCGCGGGCGGCGCCCCGTGACTCACGGACTCACCTGCAAAAATAAGGTAAGATGTTAATCACATGGAAAAAAGGATAGAATATGTTGTATAATTAATATATTTTGAGTTATTTGAATACATATGTGAGGAATTCCAGCACATGAATTTATTTACATATACAAGCTGACAGACGCACGCACTCCTAAACAGACACGCCCACGCGCACTCACATTCGACTCCACTAGCACGCACCCAAACACATCACCCTCCCCCCCAATGCCCCTACTCCTCTCCTCCTTCCCTACCCACCTCATCTTCCCCCTCTCCCCCGAGTCCCCATCCATATCACCCCCACACATCTCTCTCCGTCCGCCCACATCTGCCCAACACCTCATACCCCCCCCCCCCATTTCCCACCCATCTACCCACTGACCTACCTACCCGCCTCCTCACCCTCATCCCAGCCACTCCTCACCCTCACCTCACTCCTCACCCTCACCACGACCCTCACCTCATCCTCACCCTCACCTCACCCACCCATCTCCTCTTATCGGTCTCGGCCATTACACTCCGAGATTAGGCATCAATATTTGGCATACATTAAAGCCAGGCCAATAAGTCACTGCCACAAGTACAGCACACGCGCCCTAAGTGCATTCCGACTCTCTGGTCCCCTTCGCTCGGCCAGGGGGTGGGAGGGGGAGGGGGGAAGATGGGGAGGGGAAAGGGGAAGGGAGAAGGCGGAGGGGGAGAGGGGGAAAGGGGAAGGGGGAATGAGGAGAGGCGAGGGGAGATGAAGCTGAAAACATAGAATGTAGGAGACTGAGGAGGGACACGCGGTCGAGGAGGCAGAGAGGGAGAAGCAGATAAGACAGAAACGAGAAGGAAAGACAGATGAAGAACAAAAAGCAAGAAGAAATAAAAAAAGAAGAAAAATGAAAAGGATACCAGGCCAAAAACGAAAAGAGCGATTCTCCACCTCGCCTCGACCTCGACCTCCACACCCTGACAAAGACAATTGAAAAACAATTTCATCGAAGATTTCGGCGCGACCCTAAACGGCGAGCCTTCCGGGGCGCCGACGGCTGGCTTGTCTTCGCGAGGCGGATAAGGCCAAACGATTAATCATTCCCTTACTTACCAACCTTTCTATTTCCGAACATCTTTCCATCTATACCATTATCTTCATCTATCTATTCACCTACCTTTTCTATTTACGAATAGAAAAGATAGATGAAGAAGTAAGAAGAGAAGCAGAAACAGCACTCTCTCTCTCTCTTTCACTATCACCTAACTATCCTTATCTATTCACCCACCTATCTACATTCTCTTCTGTAAGTTACATGGTGAAGGAGACGACACAGAACACTGTAAATGTTTTTTTCCTAAAGGTGTCCAAAGGCCCTCGAAGCGGCCCCGGGCGGAGGCAGAGGCAGTGCCACGGCGCCGTCGAGCTGTGCCACGGCGGAGGAGCAAGCGGGCGTGGCGATGACAGATGCCGATAAGGGCGATGGTGATGATAATCATGATGCTAAAGGCGACGGCGATGATAGAGTAATTGTTGTAGTCATGGAAAAACAAATATCGGTGACAGGGAAAATGTAAATACTAAGGAAAAGAAACAGTGCTAATGATTGTGATCATAGTGATGTGATAATGTCATGATAAAAATACAACAATAGAGGCAGAAGAGGTGGGAGGCTGGGGGGGGGGGTGGAATAGAAGACAAAGAGGAAGACGTCGCTTGGAAGACGAGAACAAAAAAGAACAAGGAAAAAAAAACTCGAGAGGACAACTGAGGATGACTTGTCCTCGTCATCATCTGCCCCCCCCCCCTCCTCGATCACCCCCAAGATTCCGTGTGTGGCGGTAAAGGATGCTGCAGCATCTTCCGGCCCTTCATCTTTAAACATTCTCATCTCGGAAGGATAAGAAGAAGGATGCCTCTCTCTCTCTCCCTCCCTCCCTTTCAATCTTTTATTTTTTCTCTTCTCTCTCTCTCTCCACTTTCAATCTCTCTCTCTTCTCTATCCCTTTCAATCCCTTTCAATCTCTCTCTCCATCTCCCTTTCAATCTCTCTCTCTCTCTCCATCTCTATCCATACTCCTTTCAATCTCTCTCTCTCTCTCTCTCTCTCTCTCTCTTCTCTCTCTCATCTCTCTCTCTCTTCAATCTCTCTCTCTCTCTCTCTCTCTCTCCTCTCTCTCTCTCTCTCCTGTCTCTCTCTCTCTCTCCATCTCTCTCTCTCTCTCTCTCGTCTCTCTTCCTCTCCATCTCCCATTTCTCTCTCTCTCTTCCTCTCCATCTCCTTTCAATTCTCCTCTCTCCTCTCTCTCTCTCCCTTTCTCTCAATCTCTCTCTCTCTCTCCCTTTCTCTTTCAATCTCTCTCTCTCTCCTTTCTCTCATCTCTCTCTCTCTCTCTCTTTCTCCTCTCTCTTATCCATCTCCTCTCCTCTCTCTCTCTCTCTCTCTCTCTCTCTCTCTCTCTCTCTCTCTCTCTCTCTTCTCTCTCATCGTCTCTCTCTCCTCTCCCATCTCCCTTTCAATATCTCTCTCCTCATCTCTCTTCTCGTCCATCTCCACCTCCCTTTCAAATCTCTCTCTCTCTCTCTCTCATCTCCAAATCTCTTCTCTCCTCTCTCCTCTCTCTCTCTCTCTCGTCATCTCTCTCTCTTCCATCCTCCCTTTTAATCTCTCCGTCGCGTTATTCATCTCTACTCTCTTTCAAAACATCTCTCTCATCATTTAATCTCACATCTCTTTCAATCTCTCTCATCATTATACAAATTCTCTCTCTCTTTCACTAAAATCTCATTCTCTCTATTCAAAAAATCTCTCTCTCGTCTCCATAAA